TAACACTGTGTCCTCAACAAAGTTTTAAAATTACTCCGAGTCTAAGCAGCCCTAATAGTGGTCTGTTCTACAAACTGGGGGCCTGCTACAGAAAAGGCCCGACTGCCCCGGGACCACCAGAAGAGTGTTAGACCTCAAGGCTCAGAAAAGGGTGGATTGCCAGCTCCAGATCGGGGGAGAGGTCAAGTTAAAGTCACATAGAAAATTGTCCACTGCATTTGACCCATCCCCATGGGGAGCGGTGAGCTGCAGACATGCCGCGCTCTTGATGGTTTAACCCACCAATCCAACACCTTAAAGCTGTGTGTCAAGCAGGGAGGCACTGGGTCCCCCTGGTCGACTGAGCTGGTTATCTCTTAGCTCAAGTGGAAGAGTTGAAGTATCTTCTTCACAAGTGAGGGAAAGAAGAAGCAGGAGACTGACAGGTGGATCTGCAGATGCTGAACTAAGGCTGGACAATACATTTCAAATGCATCGCCATTGTGACATCAGCACGTGCAATACGCATATCGCAAAGAACAGAATAAACTGCAATGAATGGTCAGCTCAGATGTTTGCCAGACATAATTCATTTTGTCAGTCAAAAAGAAGCATGAAGTTTTTGACCAATCAAATAGAGCCCTACACTAATTTGACCAATCCAGTGGGTTCTTATAGATTAAAAGCAGATGGCACTTAATTGGGTGGCTAGCAAACACCGGAGTTAGCTTTTCCATTTTCTTCTGAGGCTTTGTCGTTACCTTTGCTGACATGTTTCAACGTTTCACTACCACCTTCGTCAGTGACCTGAGTTAGTTTCGTTTAGCTCTTTCTGCTGATTCTGCTTTCACTCGAGATCCACTGTTTGTTTTTCCTTGTTCGTTTCTTTCCCTTTCCTCACATCTTTTGATTGCAATATTTGCTTTTCTCATTTTACAATTTTTAGTAATTTCATTATTTGTATTCATTTGTTTCTGATTTTTGTTCCTGGGTTAAGTGTATATTTATTGCGAGTCATATCGTCACTGTTATCGTACATCGCAGGTTTCCCTATCGTGCAACCCTACGCTAAACCCGACTGCTGTGGTGAAGATGGAGCTACGCCAGAAAGCAATGCTCTCAATTTATTGCCTAATCTTCATCACAGTCCTCACCGATGTTGATGAGACAGAAGAAGAAGAAAATATCATTTCTATAGCGCCTCTCAAGATAAAAATCACGAGGCGCTTCACAAAAACAAAAAATGTAAAAATATAAAAAAGAATTTAGAAAATGGTTAAAAATATCTTTAAAATGAGCAAAAATAACAATTGTGATTAAAAAATGATACAAAAGAGAGAGCGTGAATAGGAAAGAGAAAAATCAGTGGATCCTGAGGAAGGTGGAATCGGTGGGGAGAGCAGAATAGAGAGTGGTGAAGAAGGTCTTACAAAAGCCAGCTTGAACAAGTGAGTTTTCAGCTGCTTTTTATGCTTTGGGTAGTGAGAACAAGATCACAAATACAGGCAGCCAAAATAAGTTTCTTTTGCAGGGTGGCTGGGCTCAGCCTTAGAGATAGGAGGATGAGCCCGGACATCCAGGAGAGAGTCAGAGTAGAGCTGTTACTCCAGCCAGATGAGATTCTTAAAGGTCAGAATGCCTCCTGGACGCCTCCCAGAGGACATGTTTCAGGCATGTCCTGCTGGCACGAGGCCCCAGGGTCGATCCAGGACACCCCGAGGGATGATACTTCCAGGCTGCCAGGGAACGTGGGAACCTGGAGTACTACCGGTGGAGTTGGTGGAGGTTGTTTGGGAGATAATGGTTTGGGCCTCTCTGCTGGGGAGGGTACCCCTGCTATCCAGACTGGGATAAGCTCATGGAAACAGGCTGCTTAAGTCGTGATGCAGGAGTTCAGCATGGATTGTGCCAGCTAACTCGTTATCTGAGGAGATGATTTTGAAAGATGCAAAAGCGAATAAAAGAAAAAAACTATAGTGCGTTCTTGAGCACCTGTAATACCGCATCCAGCAGCCGTTTGTTGTGATTCATGAAAATAAGTCAACAGAATTTCATAGGGGAATTCTGTTTCTCAGAAACAGCTGAGGTAAAGGTCCTTGGATGTGCCTATTAATGTAAAAAATGTAACGTCTCTAATGCCAGGGACATACTGAGCACATCTGTTTCACGTCTCAAGAGGAAAATGAGAAAAAAACTAATAAAAAGAAATAATTGATTAAAAAACACAGTTGTCTATGAAAGTGTTGCAGGGAGAACCCAGAAGAAAGAAAAACAACCTGAGAAAGCATGCTGATAAAGAAATGACTAATGCGACCTGACCGACAGTGTCGGGAAGTGAAAAATGTGGTGGAGCTGAGTAATAACCGCTCATAGATTAAAAGTTTTCTACAGTAAGTTTTCAATGTCGCTCCCTAAGGAGGGGGTCTAAAATCAAAAAGACCCACTATGCTGTCGGAGCTTACAGGGTTTGTGATTTTAGCTGAAAAATAAAAACCTTTAAACACAAAACTGCAACATTCACAGAACCATCTCTATCAAAGCAGTCCTTGTCATTTTGGTGTCTGGTAAATCTCTTTGCTATCTGACTGATAAAGCTGGAAATTCAGATTTTCTAATGTGAGAAAATAGTTCTGGGGTTTTCAGAATCAATGTTGGTTTAGGCACACGATCACAGAATACTTAAAAATAAAAAAATTCACACGTTAGCTCCACTCTTTAACTGACAGGCTGGAGAAAAATCACTAATGTCCTATCAGGGCATTATTAGTATGAAATTTTCCCTTGGATGGTGTTCAAATCTTAACGTTGACTTTAGCATCTCAGAACATCACATGGCTCAACAATATGTCCTCAATTCAAATGAGTCTCTGTAGATAAAACAAAGCATTAGCAGTCCATCTGTCTTAATATGATGAGTCACCGTATAGGGAAAAGCACAGATTTGACCAAGAAACACTGTGAAACAGCTGAGTGTATTTCCTCAAACCCATGGCAACATGACAGTGAGCCCGAGTGAGCAAAATCAGCCATCATTTCATTTAGAAAGATACTGCTCATGTGTGGGGGAGAAAAGCTGTTCTCTTTTTCCCTTCATTTAATGCAATGCTGTCAAATCTGCGAAATATCAAAAAGTGTCACGTATTTTTTATGTAAAATATAGCCATTGTGGGGAAATCTTGAAATTAGCTTTATACATTATCATCTGCAACATCACCAGCTTTGCACCATCTGCAGGAGCTTAAATTTGTGGTTTTAATGCTACTTAGATACCAAATGTAGCTTGATATCAGGGATTCTTAGAGAGCTGCAGCCATGATTGGCAGTACTAAGGCCAGAGTTGGTGTCAGGGGCAGTTGTAGGGGAAGTTTAGGGTAAAGTGACACTCTCACTTGGAATTAAGCTTGGAATTAATGAAATTGAAAAGAGATGCTTAGACTATTTATTGCCAGCTTTGAGCTAAAAAACTCTTTTCACATGTTAGTATGATGAATAAAAACTTGTTTCAACAGAAATGTGTGACGGTGGCACAGGAGTTAAGTGCTTGCACCATAATTAGAAGGTTGCAGGTTCCAGCTTCGCTCAGTCTGTCGCTGCTGTTGTGTCCTTGGGCAAAACACTTAACCCACCTTGCCTGCTGGTGGTGGTCAGAGGGACCGGTGGCCCCAGTGTACGGCAGACTCGCCTCTGTCAGTGTTCCCCAGGGCAGCTGCGGCTACAACGTAGCTCCTCACCACCAGAATGTGAATGTGTGTGTGAATGGGTGAATGACTGATTGTGTTGTAAATCACCTTGGGGGGTTCCAGGACTCTAGAAGGCGTTATATCAAATACAAGCTATTTACCAAATCCAAATCGGCTTATTTTGCAAGCCTAAGATGCCCAGACAACTAAAAAGTATGAATAATTTACATTAAAGAGTTGTAAGCTGTTTAAGCTATTGCTTTCAAACAGGTTTCAGTGATTATTGAAGCAGAAACTAGACCAACTTTACATGGGACAGCGCGACTCATGTTGCGAATGACCGCAGTCACCAATTCTTGTTATGTGTCTTACCCACGTATGTCTGATCTTTGAATTGTGTGTGCTGAAACTGAATTTCATTTCTCTGTATGTCCTGCACATGTGGAGAATATGACAATAAATGACTCTTGACTCTCTTGACTCTTGACTCTTGACTCTGCAGCCCTTTTTAAACCAGAAACCACTGTTAAAGAGACAATGTGTACTTTTTACTGTTCATCTCTGGAAATATCCATCAAAACATTGTTGAAAATGAATAAAATTATGTCCAGTTATTGAAAAATTGTGGAGGCTTTGTACCACATCACCATAATAACTGGGTCTAAAGTACACAGGGGGCAGGTCTAGCATCTTTGGGGGATGCCATATTAGACACCATGTTTCCTTCTGGCCGGCTCAGAGTCCTGCACCTGTCCATGACATCACACTAGATGATTTGCTGGACGTACGACTTATGGAAGTTTCGTAACCACATTCAAAAACATTTAGGTAGTAAGAAACATGAATTTAATAACAAAACTACTAAACGCTTTCCAAAACATATGCCAAAGGACAGAATAGAATAAGAGATGCGTTATGTTTTGGCCGAGTGGTATCGCCGTAAAGTGATGATGCCATTGGCAGGCGCAGGACCCCAAGCAGATACAGAAACTACAGAGCCAGAAAACTACAATCGGCACTAAGATATATATATATATATATTGTATTTTGAATTTGTTGATTTTGTGAACTGCCTCGGGATTTTTATCTTGAGAGGCGCTATATAAAAGATTATTTTCTTTCTTTCTTTAACATCCAGCTGTCACACAATGGCATTCTCATATTTCATAATTCTGAATGGACTTAGCTTTGCATAAGTTTTATTGAGATAAGACATAAAGACTTTTTTTCAACAAAATATTAGAACAGCATGTTTACATTGTCTCCCTTTCCTGCAAACAGTTTACGTGTTCACCGTTGCCCATTTAGCATCTCATTTTCCCACATCATTGGCATGCTTACCTTGCTCCAGATCAGGTTAAGGATGTGGACCTCCATCTTGTCTTCTCTGACAAAATTGGTCCAGCATCCAGTTAGGATCTCGCTCACGTACATCGATTGGCTGTCCTTTACCTCCTTTGGTTCACATGTCTGACTTGAAGCTGCTAAAAATAAATAAATAATCAAATGTAAATCGTTAAGCAATGTCAGGAGTTTCATGAAGCTATTTTCCCCCATCAATATAAATTTAAAAATGCCCGTATTTTCTCCAATGCCTCAAATGCAAAAAAGTTAAAGTATTTCAATCAATCTACAGAAATGTTGTCACAGCTGACACATGCAGTGAGCGAAAACTTGTAGTCAGAAAGCCATCATTTAACAGCTAGATAAACCTTGCAGTATTACCGATCCCCTGTCTGCAAAGGGCAAAATTAGTTATTAATCATTCTGAAAGCTTTCCCCTGGTTTCTGAGTATGGATGTTAAATGTGTGGGTAGGACTACATTGTTTAAAAACAGATCAGCCGCTCCGCGTTTATCAGACACGTCAGGACTCCGGGCTGCACTCATCCATCAAGCCCGCTCACTCGGCTCTCAGCAATAAGGCTGCTGCTTAACCTGGGGATCCGTGTCTCTGGAGGCTGAATTAATCGGACCGAGGCTGTGTGGTCATGGGTGAGGTTGGTTATAAATGCCTGCTGTTTGACCTGGGCAATATATGTGCGTGTTCTATTGTGTTAAATTAGATGGAGTGCGCGAGTGCAATCCAACCCCTCTAAGGTTGCCGGGGACAAAATATTGACCTGCAAACTTTCTCTTCTTGTAAAAACAATTTAGGAATAGTGTCGAGGTACAGATCAGGTGTGTTTTGCTGTTTGGTTTTTTTTTTCTTTTCTTTTTGTTAGCTCAAATCAGATAACTGTCCCACTTCGTCTCTCTACAGTCGCTGTCTAGACAGGAAGGATTCTGGCTTGTAATTAGCATTGCAGTCCTAAAAACTGAATTTAGTTATCACTGCAACTAATGAAGCACATTCAAGATGAGGTAAATATCATTCATTGGAGCTCAGAGCTGACACCAATCACCCTAAAACCACTGATGTAGAAGTCCATAACCATAACAGAATGGCAAATGCTTCACGACAAGCAGCTTTACTAGCTTGTATGATGCATTTAGACGGTTTACCCAGATGACCAGAGAAAAACGTTTTAAAAAGCAGAAAATTTATATTTGCTGGTTTCAAATGGGTGGGAAAAAAATCTTACTTAAATAAGGAAAGGAAATGTTTCAGTGAGGGCAATTTCACAGGATGGACACAGATTGACTAATAAATGGATAGAAACCATGAAGAGCATCAAAACCTGACTTTTATTCCTGTTTTTTAGCCACACGTTAAATTCGGATGCATTATAGTCCGTAACATCTATGACTTACACACTGAAAAGAGAGCTTATCTTTATTAAACCATCCTCTTTTTTACGTAATCACAAACAAATCTCTTTTGACATTGTCTTACAGCACATGTAAGAAGTGGTGTAAATGACTAGTTTGATCACAATACGATATATAAAATGATACAGAGGACTGTCTTTCGATGTTTGTCGAGATCTTGACTTCAGTTACAACCCCATTTCAATTTGGTTCAATTTAGGATCTCTCCATTGATATGAAACGATATTACAAGTGATTGAGCGCGATCATTTCCTCACTGTTCGCCATGACGCCACTAGCTTCTTCAGTTAACACGTTTGGTGATGTGCAGGAATAGGTGGAAAGCAGAACGTCGGCAGAACGCCAAACTAAAGAAACGTTCAAAATAAAAGTACGTTTGTTAGTCATTCTATTGATTTTTGCAATTTTGGTTTGAAGATCATAATAACTGATGAATCATATAATCAATGTATCATTACGCTCTTATTTATGACCCCAATTTTTTGTCTGCATTTTTTGTCAATTTATGGTATGTTGATTGAGGGTAATGTACTTTCTCACTTAAAACTCCAGCTTTCCTTGGAAATCAAGAAAGAGAGACGTCCATTCTCTGTCGCCTGCTCTTGTCCTTTCTTTCGCCACAGGGGTCAAGGTTAACTTCCTGTTATTCTGGCCCTCAGTGTTAATGTCTGCTGCTTCATATCCACATCCATTAAGTTATTTCTTTCTTGCTCTGCTGTGACAGAGTCAACGGCCCATGACTGTCACCCGAGGTCTTGGTATAAATCACACTAACAGTGTGTGTGTGCATGAATGCATGCGTATGTGAGTAGACACGTGTGTCACTGGTCCTTTTTTTATGAGTCATCATAAGATATAAAGAACATTCATTTAGCTCCCTTGACCCCGGAAATGCCAATGGCTTTGCTAAGCGGTTTGATGGTAAATGAGGTATAGAAGAGCCGCTCCATCCCCTGTCCTCTTTATCTACTTGTATCAGTCCTTGTCATTTCCCATTTCATGAGAAGATGTGTTTATGGATGTCAGCGATTTCCATTTAGATGTTAAGTATCATGAGTAAACGTGAATAAAAAACTTTAGGGAGGACAGAAAATGGGCTTGATAAGTAAAAGAAATAGAAAGATTAGATACTGAGATCTTAATTCCTAGTACAACTTCCTTTTTTCATTAGGCACAAGCACCATATTCACCAGAACCTAAATACAATACTAGTGGCAAACTGAAAGCTTGTGAACATGTCTTCATAAAGGCTAAGCAAGCATGCAGAGATAATTGATCAATTTGCGGGGAAAGCTAATTTCCGTGAGCTATGAATAACACGGTGCACATGATGCATGAATAACAAAGAGAAAAGATAAACAAACTGATCTTTATACATGTCCACTCCTTGTCTGCCTTTGTTTCTTCTAACCCCGAGCACATTCCTGAAGGAGGCAGAAGACTGGTTCACAAAGTGACAGGCATCTGTTTCTGTTTTTGTTCAATTGTGCATGGAACCATTAGGCTTTCACTATAAGTGTGGGGCCATTTACGGACGGCTCAGACTTGAAAGCCTGCTTTGTTATGTTTAGATAAACCTGACGTGTTTTACGTTATCATGCTAAATCTGTCTGGTAGATGTCTGCTGATGTAGACCAAATATCACAAAAATGTAAGTCTGTGATATAAGGAATGTTCCATTACTAGTACAATAATTATTAGGGATGTGTATTGGTGAAATTTTGGAGATATGATATGTGTCATGATACGGGGAGACGATACAATGTATCACGATATATTGCGATACATTCAGTCAGACGTTATAAGCTATTTTTTCAGACTGAATTTATTGTAGGAACATTCAATAAATAGTCCAAACTGATACTTAACATGTTTAACATGAGGTATCTGAACCATAACAGAGGAATTTACATTACATTACAAAACCCATTGCACACTGCTGCCAACTAGTGGTCGACATTTGAATTGCACCAAAATTAAAGAAAATACGCAAATGTTTGCATGTAAATTCTTCCAAAAATTTGATACATCGCTTTTGAATATTGGTATAATATAGCAGGAAAAAATATCACAATATATTGCTATATAATATTTTCGACAAACAGATTTTGAATATCGATATGATATCATTGGAAAAAATATCACGATATATTGCCTTATCGACATTTTCTTACATCCCTAATAATTACAGTAACACATTTTATAAACTGTCTCTGATTTACAGTTTATCCATTAGTGCATCTAAATCCTATCTTTATTGTTTTAAAATACTTTTTAAAGTATGATTATTTCAAGAGGCCAGCTTGGAAGTTTCACACTCCAGAATTAACCCATATAATTACTAAGAGTGCAGTGTAGCTGAACTGAAGCCAGCAGCTGTGCATGGGGTTTGCTTTGTGGTGATTTATCAATAAACAATTGATTTATTATTAAAAAGAAATTACATTTTCTCCACTATTATCCACAACTTAAAACATTTGGTACTAAAGTGTTGGATTTGGGATAATAATTCAACTAGTATGCAAGAATTTCTTTAAAACACGTAACGAAAAAAGACAGGTATAAGAATGTAGAAAAAAGAAAATGTGTGTGTGAAATGGTAGTTGCTATGAATGCTTTAAGAAATGTGTTTTTATAATTAATCAATGAATGGTGGGATTAGTTAACAAATAGAAATGGATGCAAGCTTAATTTCATGCAAACAGCCTGCAACAAAACACTACTAGCTTGAACAGAGAAAAATAAAAAGATGGAAACCAGCAAACCTGAAGTAGTTAGGAGCAAAAAAAAAAAACATGTCAGATCTAAAAACATAAAAAAGAAGAAAAAACGTGTGCTCATAAATCCAATAGTGTTGCAGGCTCTTCAAAAATGGCGTTTCTTTAAGTACCATTGTCTACGCTGAGTTTCACATGCATGCAGAATGTGAAAATAACCTTCTACACCTATTTCTTGCATAAGCCGCTGAAAGAAAATAGACAGGGTAATGCTCAGGTCAGAATAGATAACTCGGATCAACATCACATTGTAAAATTTGCTCATTTTTAATGGACTCACTCATCTTGGCTAGCATCCAGGGAAGGCTGTCTTGGTTTTGTGGCCAGGAGAGAGCAGAGCGTGTCTCGGCTAGTAGAAGCTAACCATTAGCGTTAGTAATTCCACAAAATGGCGGTAGGGGGTTAGGGCTTGTGTTCGTTGTCATGTGCCTTTGCCTATGTTTGTCTCTGCCTGTGTATGTCTGATCTCTGAATTGTGTGTACTGAAACTCTAATTTCCCTCTGGGATCAATAAAGTATCTTTGAATTTGAATTGAATCAAATCAACATTTCTGTCAAATATGTTGGTGCTGTGACCTACAAATAATTAAAAGGAAAAAGTAGGAATTTGAACCGTAACCTTTCAAATGCCAATGCAGGGTGACCAAAAAAGGTGTAGGGTGTTCTCTGCATTTAGTGTCCATTAGGGACCTGGCTGTAGAGTTCTGTAGCATTTGCAGGCTGGAAAGTGTGGTCTAGCTATCACCAAAACACAGGAATTTGCAATAGTCAAAGCACAATTTATTAAAATCATGGCCCGCCCTTCCCAAGTGGGAATACGATCCCATACGCCTGATTTTAGTTCAGCAGCAGAAGTGTTTATGATTCTCCAGCTTGAGCCCCAAATGAGGTTTCACCTCTAAATTGGCAATCAGGTCTTTCACAAATGGTCCGAGC